TTTGCTGTCTATGTAAAATTTTAATATACCACGTAGATCATATGAAAAATGATCTACGGACACCCTACCCTTAAAGTTACAAGTCGAACTCAAAAATAAAGCCATAGGATAATTCAGATAAGTATTACTCTTTATTATTTAGTGGTAATTTAAAGTGGACCAGGAACTTCTTTCGTTTATAGTTCTTATATACATTTTGAACTTTGGGCATGTTGACGTGCTAGCGGCTGTGTTTATGTGCCTACTGGCATGATCATCCAATTTCAGAATCAACTGCTAAAAATACTGATAAAGTTGAGCTTTTGTAATGTTTGTAGTATTATAATTAAATTATATATTTATTATAAATATTAATAGTATTTTTATTATTATAAATTAATTTTATTAAATTAAAAAATTTAATGATGCCTTAGAAGGGAATTGAACCCAACTATTAGCCATAAAGACTAACAATACCAATTAAGGCTTATTTAATAATTCCCTACACCTGGATTCAAAGGCAAATTATTTTTAAATAATTAAAAATAATCTGGCAGTTTATCGTTCTGCTTATAACAGATTTAATTTACTGACCAAATGACTAAAGGCAAGCTATGTTTTAAAACTTTATAATAAGTCTTAAGGTGAATAGCAATAAACCTAGAATTTTTGGAAATTCTCTACCCCTAGTTTATTATTAGAATATTTCTAGAAGAAACTAGTAAAACTCAGCAAATTTTAATATAAAATTAAAATCATTATTACAAAAATTGCCAGTTTTCATAATTATTTTGAGACTTGGTTACTTTGAACAAGTCACAACAAGTCAGAACCCTAGGAATTATAGGGAAAACAAATTAATTTATACTGAAATTTGCAAGTACCCACTCAGTTATTGAACAAATTACAGTTTCTAAAATTAATCCCAAAACCCTGAAATTTTTTATTTAAAAATAAAATTATAAAGTTTAAATTAATAAATATAAAATTATTTGAAAAATTTATTAATTATAATATATTAAAATATACCTTAACATAAATAGCCACTAAGACATGGACGGCACGGAGAAAGGAGGATGGCACAGAGAAAGGAGGACGGCATGAAGAAAGGAGGATGGCACGGAGAAAGGAGGACGGCATGGAGAAAGGAGGACGGCATGGAGAAAGGAGAATGGCATGGAGAAAGGAGGATGGCACAGAGAAAGGAGGACAGCACAGAGAAAGGAGAATGGCACGAAGAAAGGAGAACAGTATGAAAAAGGAGAACATGTCACAGAGAATGACACAGAGAATGGTACATATAACGTCACAGAGAATGGCACAGAGAATGGCACAGAGAATGGCACAGGGAATGGCACAGAGAATGGTACATATAACATACAGAGAATGGCACAGAGAATGGCACATAGAATGGCACATAGAATGGCACATAGAATGGCACATAGAAGGGTATAGAGAACAGCAAGAAGAATAACTTGGGAAACGACATAGATAATGATAAGAGAACAACATGAAAAAGCCACAAACAACATGAAGAATAATACAAAGACTGATATGGAGACTAATATTAAGCAATCAATTAGAGTGTTGTTTAATTTAATTCATCATAAAATTATAACTTAATAAATAAATTTCATTAAACATTATACTCACATTCTGTAATTTATGTAATTGATAGGAGTATTGATCAGTTTGTTACAAAATTGTAACTTATTGTAGTATAAAACTTGAAGATTATTAAAAAAAAGTAATCACTGATTTCTTTTACCAATTTCCAATTTCTTCAATATTTTTTTTGTTTTTAGATTAGACAAAATTTGCACATTTATTTTTGGCAAAAATTTTATTAATTGATATAGAAATAAAAGTTGCATATTTATTATTTTGTATTAAAATATTCAATAAAATTTTTTCAAATGATAAAACACAAATTTTGTCTAGTCTAAAAGTCAAAAAATGTTAAAGAAATTGAAAATAGTGATTGCTTTTTTTAATGATCTTCAAATTTTACATAATTTTACAAACCACAATAAATAAATATCATTGAAATTTATACCCACATTCTGTAATTTATGCAATTGATTATAATTTTGATTAATTCATTATAAAATTATAACTTAAATAAATATCATTGAAATCTATACCCACTTCCTGAAATTTATGCAATCGATTAGAGTGGTGATCAATTCTAGAGTTTCAATCCGGATAAATCCGTCATCCATTTATCCATATCTGAATATCCGTTTGCTATTAATATCCGGATAATCTGACAAATATTCGGATAAATTATTCAGATATCAATAGTTAACGGATATTCGGATAAATTCAGATAGGATACTTGGATAACGGATTACGGATATATGGATAAACGGTTAATGGATTGGAACTCTAATCAATTCATTATAAAATTATGACTTAATAAACAAATATCATTGAAATTTATACTCACCTTCTGTAATCTATATAATCGATTAGAATGTTCATTATAAAATTATAATCATTATTGCTTGATCAGATGACTTTATTTTTTACGAGGAAGAATATATGGGTATTTCGTTCGCTATTATATACAGGTTTTACAGGCTCTATATCAAAATGCTTAAATGATTATATCTCCAAGAGTATATCCTATCCAAACAAATCATACAATCTATTACCTATCTAAAACCACATATAATATATCATACCAGGAATGTAACAAGAAGGAATTTTATAGCTATAAAAAAAGAGAATCGTTGGTGTAGGTATTTGATGGCATGAAGGTTATTATTCTGCCTACAGCAGCCGTGAAGCCTAAACACCAACCTGAAGATCCTTGCACTGCCTACAGCAGCCGGCGGAGCTTAAATATCAAACATAAGGCTTTACTTCCTCTTACAGCAGCCGCGAAGCCTAAATTCCAAAAGCGAGATTCTTGTCCTGCCTACAGCAACAGCAGAGACAGTGCCCGGTCCAGAGTGAATTTTTCTCTCCTGTTATCAATCACAAATTAATTGTAATGGATATAATCCCTCACCAGTGTTAATATATGTATAACATTAACGGTTTTTGCTGTTGCCTACAGCAGTAGGAGCCTAATTGTCAAATATGAAGCCCTTATGCTGCTAGCTGCAGCCGAAGGGACTAACAGCACTAACCAATATCTTGCTAAACAAGTGCCCTGATTTTAACAGTTATCGAGAAATGGGCGGGTGGGGTGGGACGGTAGAACCAGCCTTCACCCCAAGACGAGCGATAGCGAAAAGAAAGAAATCCTATACCAGGAACGTAGTGAAACGGAGTGTATGGTTATATGGCAATTTAAATGGCGTGCATCCGCAAAAACTCGAATAATGCATCAAATGCACATAAATAGCGCAGTATTGCATCATCACATGGCTCTAGACTCGTAAAATAAAACTTGTTTTGTTAGTAGTTTAAGCGGACTTATTGACAGAATAGAATTATGCCCGATTAAAATTAGTAATTAGTAACTATCGCTATCTGAAAATAGAAAAACACAGCCATCTACTCTAAAGCCATACTACATACGTATGTACATCATAAAGTGGATATCATTAAGTATGCTAAGCAGGAACCAGACCACCATCCAAACTGGTTATGTTGGATTATCCAGATCAAGCAAACAGATAAGCTAGCGGCACGTGAAAATCTCAGATAAGTATAATTCAATCAATTGCTCAATTCGGAATTATTGTAAGATTACTTATCGATCGACGGACATGTCCACCCCTGTAAGGGGCAACTGTATATCAATAGTAATCCAAATGATCTTCGTAGCTGATTTTACTATAGAATTCAAGGCAATAATATTTTCTTGATATAGCGAATTTGTAATTATTACAAAAAATTAAAAATTATTTTTAAATAATTTTATTTTTTAGAAGGCATAAAATATTATATTCGAAACAAAATAATGTTTTGAACCTTAGGTTTTAATCCACCTTCGCATAAATTTTGAAACACCTACCCCTGTAAAAGGCAAAATCAGATGATCATGATGAACGCTAGAATTAATACGTACGTACGTACGTACGTTGTAGAGAGAGAATGGTCAAATCAACCTACGCCGATCCATCAATACATGAATATGTTACGTGAAACGATGGCATGTCCTGATTTATCCACAATATTAGATGGTTCAATGCCAGCTGAAGTTTCTACTGGAACTTCTGTAAGAGACACTGCTCGCCTAATGAGAGAATATCACACAACTGCCGTCTTAGTTATGGAACATAATCTGATTGCTGGTATTTTCACAAGTAAAGATATTGTATTAAGAGTCATAGCTGCTAGTTTAGATCCTTCGACGTGTAGTGTTGCAAAGTAATGACTTCACATCCTGGCCCCATCTCATACTAGCATTCTTGATGCTCTAAAAGAAAATGTACGACGGTCATTACTAAATCTAGTGGTTGATGGTGGCAGCATTTTAGGGGGATACGTATCACTTCACCGACGCTAGTTTCGTAGACATAACATTTCACCGACAAAAATTCACCGAATGTCTATTTC